TTATATGTATGCATCTGCTAATATCTTGATGGTTGTTCAAGATATTAAAGTCCAGGTTATTGCCATGTCAGATTCTGAAATTCTCTGGACCTTCTCCTTACCCTCTTTGTGAGAGGCTATTACTGCTTTTCCTGGTGAAAACATTTGTTGATTATATTCATAATAGTCTTGTTGATCTTATTATTTGGCCCATGTATACTTAACTGTTTCTTTAGCCTTATCTCCTCCAAACTTAAAGCTATGTGCCTGCCCAAGCAAGACAAGAACACCAGTGTCTATCAAGAGCCTTTAGATAGAACCTCTAGAGAGTATCTCTGACTGCTTGTCATAACTATGACCCCCTTCAGCCTGAAGTAGCCAAAATGGTCATTGCCCCTTGCCCTCTCACAGCAGTTAGGGGTACCTCTTCAGAGGGAGAAATATTACAGATAGCTAAGTTAAGTAAAAATATTATAGGCAGTCAGATAGGGCTGGGCCCTCCAGAGATTCAGTGCAGAAGATAAAAACACATTACAACTGTGACCAGAGGCACATCAATTAGAGGCCAGGCCTCAAGATCAAGACAAAATGATCAGGCCTCCATACTTCCTCAAGGGATGAGATAAGTGATAACACTTGATCTAATGAAGTCTAGATAGACATGAGTCGCCTCAGTAGGTGCCCAAGACCCTCAGGCCCATCACCTTCCGAAAAAGTTATTTTTTCTTTCCACATACACTTGCTACGTCACTTGCTTCCCCATTAGATCACTATTACCTAACTGACTGTACTTATAACCTTATTGGTTCATCATGACGTTAACCCACATTGTACCCACATGGTTGTGCTTTTGAAACTTCCACTAAAAAGTGAGGTCCCTGAATGGGGACCTCCTCTCCTCTCATGAGCTAGATCTCTCAATAAATATTTCCTACTCAACCTCTGTTGTTCTGGAAAATTCATTTGTTGATTTTAGAGAACATAAACTTGGCATATCTGACATCTAACAGATTAAGAGTTGTATTTCCCCTATATCATTCTTAGGGATCTAATGTCATTCCTATATCAATACAACATTCAGTTTTCAGCATTGTAGCCTATTAATTGTAGAGATTTTTTGATAGATAACCTTTATTAGGCTGAAGTTTCATTGCATTCCTAGTTCGCTGAGTGTTGTTTCTTTAATCATGAATGGGTATTGAGTTTTGTCAAATGCTTTTCCTGGGTCTATTTAGTGATCATATGATTTTTCTTCCTTAGTATGTGGATATATTAAATTAGATTTTTTCTTTTTGGATATAAAATCATCCTCATTCTCTGGTAAACACCACTTGCTCATTATATATGTCATCTTCTGAAATATATCGCTGAATTTGATTTTCTAACATTTTGTTAAGAATATACATGCCTTTGTTTATGAGAAATATTTACGTGCTCTTTTCTTCTAATAACTTTTTTCCCATTTTAGTATCAGGATAAAGATTGTCTCTTGAAATGGATTAGGCAATGTTTCTTCCTTTTCCATTTCCTGAAGAGTTTGTAGAGAATCTGTTCTTCCTTAAGTGTTTTGTAGAATTCACCAGTAAAGCTATATTTTCTTTGTGGGAAGGTTTTTCATTACAGATTCAATTTCTTTGATAGATGAAGGGCTATTCAGGTTACTATTTCTTCTCAAGTGAGCTGTAGTAGAAATTTTTACTAGAGAAATTATTCCTTTCATCTTAGTTGTCAAATATTTTGGCATAAAGTGTTCCTAATATTTCCTTAGTTTTCTTTTAATATCTGTGGGTTCTGCAGTAATAGTCCCTTTCTTTTTATAGATACTAGTTATTTGTGTCTTTTTCCCCTTTTTCCTGGCCAACTTGACTAGAGTTTATCAATAAACCTCAAAGAACCAACATGTGATATTGATTTTTTTCCATTGCATTGATTTCTATTCCTTGTCATTTCCTTTCTTTGGGTTTAATTTTTTCTTTCCTAGTCTCTTAAAGTAAGAGCCAAGATCATTCATTAGAAAACCTTCTCATTGTTGAAGATTTGATTTAACTCAACAGGGATTTATTGAATACCTTCTTACGTGATTTTCGGAAGATGCTTTGGAAAATCTGAGCTATCAAATGTCTCTACTCTTTATAAAGCTAGTTGCATTTTTGAAAGTAAAAAAACTTCTCCCTTAAATAACACTTTAAGGTTGTATCTGGTTACATTTATAAGTTTTTAGAATTTAAGGATCATTGAAAACTGATGTAGTGCTTCAGTTTGTCTTTGAAGGACTGAAATAGGAGGCAGGGAAGGAGAGGAGTAGTTTCACGGAGTTGGAGAGAATCTTGGAGGTTATCAGGTCCATCCCCTTTATTTGTACTGGTAAAGAAACTGAGGTCTAGGGCCAGGGATTTAGCTCAGTGGTTTCGCTGCCTGCTGCGCAAGCGCAAGGACCCGAGTTCAATCCCTGGTACCAAAAAAAAAAAAGAAACTGAGGTCTACAAGGCCAGACGGACAATGAGAAGAGATCAGTCTGGGTAGAAGGAAGTTGGTTTTCTGTTGTTGGGGGGCTGGGTTGGGAGTGACCAGCAGCATGGGGGAATGAAGTGTGGAGTGTGGATAAAAGGCAGATTATGTGTAGGTCTCAAATTTCTGACAATGCTAATGTCACAAACAGGTGCAGGAGAAAGCTATTAGTCACATATAGGTGCAGGAGAAGCTGTTAGTTAAGAATCTGTTTAATTTGGGGGGGTTTTGTGTGTGTTTTGATTCCTGTTTTTTGCTTGTTTGTTTGTTGTTTTCCCATGCTGGGGATGAGATGTACCCAGGCCTAGGCAAGCATTCCATCGCTGAGCTATAACCCCAGCCCAGTGTTTTGATTTCTTTTATGTGCAAATAGTTCAGGAAAGCCATAGAAACTTGGTGTAGTAAAGTCCTATAGAAATCACTCAGACCAAGAAAGTTTAGGGGTCCGAAGGCTTATATATTAACAGTGAATAAGTTTTGGTAAAATCATGGTTTTGTAGGTTGAAAAGCCAGTAAAGAATAAATACTCATTTTAGGTACATGAAGTTTGTGGCAAAGCTGGCACTAGAACAAAAGGTTGCTGTTCTTACCATCTTGCCAGTCCCCAACATGATACCCAGCACTGGGTTTCTCCCAGCAGATGATTATTAAAGCTAGTGATGGCTCACTAAGGCTGAGAATGCTGGGAATGAAGAAATTGTAAGATAATTAGGTCTCAAGCATGCATTCTAAGAAGAAGTTAATTGCAGTATTGTTTGTCTAATTCTAGAATATGCTTAAAAGAAGGGAACATTGAGGAATTTGAAGGACAGCGTCCCAGAAAAGATAGAGCTACAGGGAGTGCACAGGGACCTGCAGGATGTGTGGATCTAGGTAGAGGAAGTCGGCAGAAGAAAGGCTATTATGTGAACTGTGGGTGAATAAATGAATGAAGGAAGCAGACATGGACTTTTTATGTGAATGTTACAGTGGTTATGAGCTATTAAGAATTAAATTGGATAGAGGGAGGACAGAGGATGGTTAATAGGTAGAGGGGTGAAGTTGGATAGGAGGAATAATTTATAATGTTCTGTAGCACAATAGGGTAACTGAGCTTGGCAACAATTAATTGTATATTTCAAAATACCTAGGAGACAACATTTTGAATGTTTCCAGAAGAAAGAAACGATAAAATGTTGTCTTGAGGTGAAGGATATGCCAGTTATCCTGGTCTGATCAGTACACATTATATACTAATACAGTACACATTATATATGTGTATTGAAAGGTCATGTTGTACCCCATACATATGTACAATTATATGTCATTTAAAATTTTTAAAAGGTATATATTTTTGAAAATAATTGTTAGATTTGAGGAGCAGGACAGTAATATGCTCTTTGTACAACTCAGTTAAAAACACTGTGAATAGATTTATTTTGCTAATAGTATATAACAAGAATGTGACATAGTGGAAGAACTATTTCTCTTTCATGAAAGTTATTTATGCCAAAACTACTGTGAGATCTTTATTGGGCAACTGATGGGATCCACCAAAGGAAAAGCAAACACAGATAGGGAGTAACAAAACAGCCACCTAGGCCAGGTCTGGTGAGCACAGTGCTCTCTGGCACCAGCAAGCTTCCTGAGTCATGGTAAGAACCAGACAGGCACAAGAGGCAGGCAGGCCTTTGCCCCTTAGTAGCTGAATGACTCAGTAGGATTACCCAACCCCTCAAGGAACACTTTCTCACCTATAAACTAGGGGTAAGAATACTTGGAAGTGATTAGAAATCATAGATCCTACACTGGTAATTTTGACTATGGCTAGATGTAGGTTTGAATTTCACTTTTTTATTAGGAAAACCTTAATCTTTAAATCATTGAATTACTTTCAAATATCAAATAGCTGTAACCATGTTAGATTTTATTAGCATACATTCTTTATACACTTGGTGTATATAACATTTTGACTTGAGACAGTGATTAAGCCTCACACAGATGTTCATCTTTCAATTTTCTTCTCCACTCAATGCTTGATACTTTGTTTTCCTCCTTAAAACCAAATTAATAATGACTCTTCTGTGGCTGTGAATGTTCTTGAAGCCATTCTGAAAGGCAGTGTTTTCCGGACCTGGCGACAGTCAGAATTGCCTGGGTGTTTATGTAAAGAGAGATTTTCAGAGAGATACTTCCCTGAGAATGACTTCACGAGGAGCTCCAGAAAGTCCGTTTTTATGAAACTTCCCAGTTGATTTTGATGTTCAGTGAGGTTCAAAGAGCAAGGCTTATCAGGAGTAAGAAGTTACCTAGGCCAAAATATGTGAGGTGCCCCCAGAAAATCCAGCATCACAGTACAAGATGAGTGACAAGGATAAGATTTAGGACTAAAAAGAGGGTTGGAGAGGATTTAACATGGTTTGAGAGCAGTAACTAATATTTACAGGCTGTTACTGTAACTTTATTATATCAAATATTTTAAAACCAGGCAAATGGTCACTTTCTTTTTTTGTTTGTTTTGTTCTGTTTTATAGATCGTGAGGACCAGTCAATTCTTTGCACGTAAGTAAATGCTGAATATTCAGATTTGGTTTTAATCTTTTGGAAAGCAGAAAATAGCTTTTTTGTATGGGGTGGGAAAGTAGAGCAAGAGTTTGATGTAAGCCTTACGGGTATTTTAAGACTAAGATTATATAAATAGCTTAAATTTGATGTTACTGTTTGGTTGTCAAACTGGGCTTCTTACACATTTTATAATGTTAATTTGTGAAACTTCTATCTAGTTTTTATCTCCTAAGTGTAGGCCTATTGGACATTTCAGTAATTTATTCTTTTTACTCAGTAAATATACATTAATCATCTTATGTTTTGTACGCTAACTACTACAGATTTGCTTAGTATCCATGACAGGGCATGCGTAGATTTACACATTAATTAGAAAGTCCACTTTGACTGCAGTGTGGGGAATGGGCTGGAGTAGCAGTTGAAACAGGGAGACTAGTTAGGCTGTTGGGTCATTTAGACCGGGGGTAGGTGGTTGTGAACTTGAGAAGTGGTTGAATTTCAGTGTTGCTCAGTTTAAGAGACAGACTTACCAGGACTTGGTGATTTACCTCGATGATATCTTCTGGCGCGGGAACATGGGAGCAGGAACAGACTGGAGTGCAAGCTGATGAGCTCGGTTTGGGCACATTGTACGTGAAGTGCTCGTGGCTCGTCTCAGTGTGGCCCCAGGCTTGTGGACATGGAGCTCAGGAGAGCCGTCCACGCTAGAAACGCAGATCTGAGACCTCGACAGTATGGATGTGATAGAAGCCAGGCTGGTGAATGTGAGTGCCTTAGAAGGATATAGAGAGAAAAGGCAGAGTGGGATTTTGAGAAAACCAGCCAGGCAGAGGAAAAAGACTTGCAGAGCCGAGTGATCTGACCTGGAAGCATGAGGAGGCAAGACCAGGGTGACAGGGCAGCCAGAGCAGAGAGGCCTCTCAGGAAAGGGCGGTCAGCATATTCACCGCCTCAAGGTTGATTGTGCTTTGAGGAAACTTGTGCCATGGACTGAGTGGTGGGAGTGGACTGAGTGAGTGGGCACAGGAGGAAGGAGCAACCAGATTGCAGGAGAGGAATGAGAGGAGGGGAAAAGCTAAAGAAAGAAATGTAAAAACCAGAGAGACCTGTTTTTCAAGGTTGAAAACATGGAAAGAGTAATAGTTGAGTAGTGATCAACAGGGGACTTGTACAGTACTATTATTGGTGGCATTTTTTTTCGGTACCAGGAATTGAACTCAGGACCTTGATCTTGCCACACTGGCATGGTGCCACTGATCTACATCCCTGGCCCTTGGTGGCATTTTTATTGTAGTCAGAATGAGGTACAAATGAGAGGGAGACAGTATTTTAGGAGCGGCAGAGTAGGGGCAGGACAAGGAGCATTGAGAGAGCAAGGAGGATGGATGAGAGACCAAGCATCACAGGCAGGGAGATGCGGCCTTCTAGAGTTACAGACCACAAGGCCCATGAGCCTTGCAAGTAAGTAAGGTAAGGAGCTGGAGATGGAGAACGTTCTTACCTCAGGACTTCTCATTTCTATGGAGTAGAAACTGTGGTACTTAATGCAAAGGGAGAGGAGAGGGAGGATAAGTTTGAGGAAAGGAAGCTTTGTTTATGAATTTTCATCTAGCATTGTTTAACCTCAAGGAGTTATATAAATAAGCTTTTCCTAAACAACAAACCACCCTGAAACTCAGTGGCTTAAAACTGGTTCATCCAGCTCTGCTGGCATATGCTTGTATTCCCAGCCCTTGGGAGGCTGAGGCAGGAGGATCACTGAGAGTTCGAGGTCAGCCTGGGCTACACAGTGAGTTTAAGACCAACCTAAACTACATAGCAAGACCCTGTCTCAAAAAAAAAAAGCATGGTTTCCAGCAAGTGGTTTGGGCTCACTTGAGAGTTCTGCAGCTCTGGGCCAGGCTCAGCCAGGTCACCTAGGACTTGCCCTTGTGTTTGCAGTAGGCGCCTTCCCCCTAACCCCAGGCTTTGTTTAAGTTAGATAGCTCTTTCTGTGGTTGCTGATTGTTCAGATGTTTTCAGCTTAAAGTAGTTTTCATACCATTTTAGTCAGCTATTAATCCCTTTATTTGTTTTCAAGTTAAATTCAGCATATATAGGTAGCATTAACTAAGACTAGTATTGGGCCGGGGATTTAGTTCAGTGGTTCTGCTGCCTGCCCCACAAGCACAAGGACCTGAGTTCAATCCCTGGTACCAAAAAAAAAAAAAAAACTAAGACCAGTATTTTCATCTTTTGAAGAAGCTTTGCACAGTGGCAGTATTGTAGCCAGTGCTACATATCCGAGGCATAATTATTGCTAACTGAAGCAAAAATCTACACATAATGAAAAGCATGCATCTGAAGTATGCCTTTGCTAAGTCATTTTGTAACCTAAATCCCTGTCAAGATACAGAAGGTAGTCCTGTCACCCCAGAATTCCCTCCCGTGCCCTCTCAGTTATGTCTACCCCCACCTCTTTTCATCTTCACTATTTTTTCTTACTTTTAGATACCTCATTTCTGGTATTTAATACTAGATTTTCCTGTTCATGTCTACTGGTGAGTTACATTGTGACCTAAAACCTATGAAAATGTGAAATGACATATCCCAGATTCTGAAAGTGTGGTGTTCTAGGGCAGTGGTGGCAAACCTATGCACATGTGCCACAATAGGCTGTTTGTATCATTAAAATGTTTGCCATCACTGTTCTAGGGTCTCTTTGAAATGCAAATAAAGATCCCAGCATGGGGGTGCACATGTGTAATCCCAGCACTCTGGAGGTTGAGGCAGGAGGATCCCTGCAAGTTCAAGGCCAGCCTAAACTGTATAACAAGACCCTGTCTCAAAAAACCCCAAACAAATCCGAGTAAAGTACTAACTGCTGTCTTCTTAAACTTAGTTCGAAGCAGCCAAGCCAATTACATTTTCTTCAAGAAAATAGTAACTTTATAAGGTATTTATTTTATAGTAAGTATTTAATCATCTTTATTAGTACTTGTTTACAGACTATCAGAGAAAATACAATTAGAAGCAACATGTTATTTCTTCAATAAACATGAAAGCAGTTTGGTAGCTTGTCTTTGAGCTTTACTCTCTTAGTCCCTTACTCTCTTAATTTACCTTCCTCTGAAGGATTCACTCTAATTTACACCCTCATCTCCTCTGGCCGCTACTTGCGGGAGTCTTTGTTTTTGCAATCGCAGGTCTGCACTTTGCAGCCCCCTGCTTGGCCATTGTGTGGCAGCACCCTGGTGTTAGGTGTGGGGGACACTAGAATGTCCTGTCCGGGACAGAGCCCAGTGTATGAATGAAATGGATAAAACCCTGTTAAGAATGTTGACTTTCCATTGCATCAGAATTAAAATTCATGCAACAGAGTCACCCTTGGTGAGGAAATCACTGTCTCCTTAATTATTAAGCTTGCCTTTTAGAAAATAGTCTAGTTACATTTAATGGCTCCCTGATTCCTGTTAGGCAAGCCTGTTAACTAAAGTTTTTCTCCTTTTAAGTATATTTTAGTATAATGTAACAATTTTAAAATAATTGTTGCTTTACAGTAGACTTCTATCGATACATGACAATAGATTTTTTTGGTAAAGGAATTTTATCTGTCATATACAAAAAATACAGTAAGTGGTTATGGCAGAGCAAGCCTTAATTAAGAGCATATTTAAAAAGTTTTAAAGTAACTAAATGGGGCCAGGGATTTAGCTCAGTGGTTCTGCCGCCTGCCTCAAAAGCGCAAGGTCCCGAGTTCGATCCCCAGTACCAAAAAATAAATACAGTAATTAGATGAATAGAATTGATTATTATAATAGCTAAGGGAGCAGTATAGTGTAGTTGGAAAGCCATTCGATAATCAGAAGTCTGATATTCTTTCTTGTTCCAGCCCTGCCAAGTGACCCTAGAGCCTCCCTGGACCCCAGTTTGTTTTTCAGATGAGTCTATTTTATGTGTCCTTAAGTCATATTGGGGATTATTAGATTGCTCTAGCATTGCTCACTTCGTATCGTAACTGTGTTATGGGAGAAAAAAGTATGCAGATCAACTTAAAAGTTTTAGAAGTTCTAGGCAAAATTACGAGTCAGTTAAAAATTTTAAAAATAGAAAAAAATGTTGTAGGCAAATATGCAGGGGAACTAACATCTTTGCAAATGTTATCTCTGTTAATCATTACATTGTCCCTGTTATCTCTATTTACATATCACTATCACTATCCTAGACCTGATAGGAATTGCTATTAATGTCATAGAGGGAGATTTGAACCCGACCTTTCCTAATAAGCTGCTTTCTAAAAGAAAAAGTTTTGAAACTATAGGAAATCACTTATTAGTATACATATAGATGTGTGTCTGGGTGTGTGTGTGTGATATATAGAGGCGGTTAATATGTATTTAGTGTCTTTCAAGTAAAGCAAGAACTTAAGGCAGAGGATGTTTTTGAAGCTAAACTGAATTTGATGTCACACATACCAAAGCGAATAAAAACAAAGAGAGGGATTTCTCATTGAGGAAATCAAGATTCAAAAGGAATTCAGAGGAAGGGTCCAGACTGGTCATGTGTTAATGATCTCCTTTTCTGCTTCTTTATGTTCTTTATGTTTTGTTGGATTGCACACCCCATTTGAGAAACCAGTGAGAGCTCTAAATCTCTCTTAAAAATGTGAATTCCTTCAGGCTACAAAGTCCCTGGAAATGGTGACAGATGCCTGTATTCCCAGCAGTCTGGGAGGCTGAGGCAGGTGGCTCACATGTTGAAGCCCAGTCTGGGCATTTTAGTAATTTAGTGAGACTCGGTCTCCAAAAAAAGGGCTGGGATTGTAGTTCAGTGCAAGGCCCTGGGTTCAGTTCCCAGTACCACCTCTTCCAACAAAACAAAACAACTCCTGATCTTTTAAACCCAAATGTGCTTCAACAGAGACAGGGTATCCCCGGCCAAAGGCTCTTTGTTTTATTTGTAGGTTAATTTCCTACTTGAACTAACACTGTCTGAAGGGGTTCCCTTTCCAAAAGAGCATGGTGACAGGACCACAGCCCTTGCCCTAACTGTGAGCCCCCCACAGGCCAGCAGTGAAACCAACAGTTGCTTCAAGGCTAAAAGTGCCTCACTGTTGAGGACCAGAGGAGAATTAAGGCCTTATTGGCCTCCTCTGTGAGCACAAAGGAGCAAGGCTACACTCAAGGTGATTGCATATTAGGGAAAAGTTAAGGCAGCTGAGTCAAGTTGTTTACCAGAGAGCATACTAATGGATATTGGAAACCAGGTGAATCTTCTATTACCTTGATTGCTTGTGCCCGTGTTTGGGTGAATAAAAGCGAGGTGAGACAAAGGGTCGGTCGGGGCTCTTCTGTCTGCTAGAGGTATTGAGTGCTCTGGCTGCTCTATTCATTCTCATCCCCTGTCCCATTCCCCGGTGCCCCGTCCCCCGCCCCCCATTAGGGAGGAACAAAATACCAGGTCCAGGTGCCTGGGCAAGGCCAGCTGGGAGAGTCGGCTACAGGTGGTGCCCTAGCATGGGGCTTGGAGACCTGGAGTTGCCTACACTTCACCATGCGTCTTGGTTTGCTGGTAGGGATGAGGTCATATTCTCTTTGTTCTCATCACTAGTTGAGGCCTTGGCTTATTGTTCACTTTTCTGAATCCTTTAGAAGTCTGCTGAGCTTTCTTTTTGGTTCTCTTTTTCCTTTACTTTTGTTCAGACTATTATTTTCTCTGCTCCCACTTGACTTAGATGTGCCATTTCCCATAGTGTTTCGTTTTCTCTTTTCCATGAATTATATATTTCTGCTGCCTCCTTCATATTAAAATCAGAGGTGTTTCTTTTTTTTTAGTCATCATAATTGATCATTATCATAGCTATTCATATCACTGCCATTTTGTAAGAGCCTTTTGGTCAGGCACAATGCTAGGCTCTTTGCGTGTATTATCTCAGCCTTATGAAGTGACTTTATTTTAATTTATAAACTGAATCTCAGAACTTTCCCAAAGCCTTGGGAAAAGGGAATGTGTGTTAATCAGCTTTCCATTTAGGAAAGTTTATTTTGGCTCATGGTTTCAGAGAGTTCAGTCTATGGTTGGTTAGCTCCACTGCTTTTGGGCCTATGGTGAGGCATTAATTTCATGGCAGAAAAGACGTGGCAGTGGAAAGCTCCTAACATCTTGGTGGCTAGGAATCAGCGAGAAGGAGCCAGAGTCTCAATAACCCCTTCAAGACCATGCCTCAAATGATCTGCCTTACTTCTGCCAAGCCCATCTACCAGAATTCCCACTATTTCTCACTAGTGGCCTAGGCTGAGGACAAAGCCTTCAAATGGGCCTTTTATGGGAGACGGGGCATTCAGGATCCAAACCATGACAGACAGACTGGTAGAAGGATATGAAGGGAGACATGCCTATTTTACTCCATAGCCCATGTTCTTTTTTGTTTGTTTGTTTGGTACCAGGGATCGAACTCAGGTCCTTGAGCTTGTGCAGCAGGCAGCCAAACCACTAAGCTAAATCCCCAGCTCCATAGCCCATGTTCTTAACCACTATAACAGCACTATAGATTCATTTCAGAGTAACTCAGTATAGTTATTCAAATTACCTTGTGTACAATAAATGAGCTTTTAAGTAGATAATGAGTAATGTTTTTTGAATATTACGTGCTTTAGTTGGACTATATGTTTTCTTCAGCAAACCTCTTGTGTTAGGAATTATTGTTCTCATTTTATGATGAACTTTGAGTTATCCTCTGGAGAATTTAGCAGCAAAGTTTTAAAATACATCTTTTTGAAACAATATTTTCTATAAAGTTACTGTATGTCTGAAATATGTAAAATTTAGCAGAGTTCATAAGCAATTGTTAAAGTTGGATTACTGTGATGGGGGAAAAAATGTTTTTGGACACATTGCAGCCAGTCCAATGAGCAGGGTGTACTGGGAAACTGCAGAGGCAAACTTTGTGGAAATGCAGCAGTCATAACTATTTCTGAAGCAAGTCATCATCAGGTTAAATGACAAGCTTATTTCTTTAGCATAATACAAAGTGATCTGTTTGAAACCAACAGCCAATATCATGATTAGCACTGAAGCACTAAGTATTTTGAATAAAGTTAACCACAGGCAGAGAAAATCATTCTTACTGCTGTTAAGAAATTACACTTGAATAAAATGCATATTCTTTACTATGACCTCTAGGTTTGATGCATCCACCCCTTTCCTTCTTCATTAGTATGTCTCCTGCCACTCTGACTTGATTATTATTTATAGGAAATCCTAGCAGTTGGCTAGAAAGTCCTGGAACCTGCCAGGGGGGACCTTTTTTTTTTTTTTTTCCAGGGGGACCTTTTGTAGCGGGGCCTTTGCAGTTGTTTTTCCATCTGCCTGGACACTTTCCTAGCTCTTACCTGCCAGTTCTTGCTCGTCTTACAGAAGGCTTCTCTCTGACCATCACATCTGAAGGTTTTCACTTCTCAGATTTCCTCTTTTCAGCATCTTCCTTATTTCCTTTCTAGCATTCCTCGAATCCTGTAACCACCTTACTTGTTTTTGTTATTTATTTTGCATCTCTTTTCCTAAACTTGAGCCCTGCAAAGATATGTACCCACAGCTACATCCCTAGCACTTAGAAGAATGCCTGACAAACATGTTGATTAATAAATATTGTTGAATGGCTGAATGAATGTGCTATTGAATGCATGAGGGAAAAATCACTATGTCCCTTGAATATCATCGGTAGTCAGGTAGTAAATACCATGGTGATGAAAGGACATTATTAACAGTGGCAAAAAAAAAAAGTATTTTAAAAGTCCCTAGGAACAAATTCAACAGATAATGTGTAGGACCTTCATTCATTTATTCAATACTGCTTTTAAATTATAATTCAAATTGAGATTCTTGGTTGTAAAGATAGGTTTGCTGTGATAGTGGCTTAGAGAACCTTACATATTTGAGCAAATGTCATCATTCAGCTATTCCTGGGTTCCTGGCAGCTAATCTGAATTTCAGGTTTAGTCCTAAATAGAAATATAGAGCAGTTTTTGAAATGTGTCAGCTTCGTTTGTAAATATAAATCATATAAAGTAATGATATTTGTTCGTGTTCACAATAAAATTCATATAGTTTTACTCACTTTGACAACAAATTACCTACTGCCTGTGTCAACACTGTGTGAGATTACATGGATTAAAAACAAAGACACACAAGCAGACTCAGCAGGCTGCAGTCACTGGGGTCAGGGAGCCCAGTGTACAGGTCAGTGTCAGTGAGAAGTCTTCATGAGATTCATGCCAGCAGCCACGTTGGTGCAGAAGAGAGCATCGTCCAAGCCCTGTGAGAGGGGTCACTCACCAAGGCTTTCGACAGCTTTGAAGATGGGAGTCGATAACCAGCAGGCCTTCCACAGCTCTGTCAGCTCCTGCAGATGGTTTTAGCATTTCTCTTTGCAGTGCTGGGTATTTCTACTGCACATGACTTTTCTCATGAACACTTGTCATCAGTTTCTCTTTGAAGGAAGTCCTCAACTATACTGGACAAAAGTGTCTGAGGACATTTCCTATCTCTTATTGGCATCTACGAAGAATTATTCAATATTTTTAAAAAAATTTACTGTTGATAGGGTTTTTATTTTTTACCTCTGCTATTCTCATTATTTGCTATTTCTTGTTCTCCTTCAGTTTAATTGTATCAATGATAATTTTTGAATGTGTACCCTGAGCTTTCTTTAAAGAACCTGATGTTAATATTTCTTTTAGGGGTGAATCGGGTGCTGGGAAGACAGAAAATACTAAGAAAGTCATTCAGTACCTTGCCCATGTTGCCTCTTCACATAAAGGAAGAAAAGATCATAATATTCCTGTAAGTTTTTGCTCTGCTGTTGCTTTTTATGTCTTAGTTTTATTCTTTTATAATTTCAGAAGTAAAACCAAGGAACCACATCTATACCATACAGTGCTCTGAGTGACAGCTCCTATGTTCCCCCCACCCAGTGACCCTTTTGTTTCATTTCCCTCAAGAGAAGGATTTACAGAAAGTGACATTAAATAGATTTTCTTATAGGGTGAATGGGAATTATGATTGTGGCTGGAAGCCTAATTTCTTAGAAAGATTTAGAATGGTTAATAATTGATCAGCAATGCTTATGTAGATTTCTAATGTTCTACCCCCAGAAATGGTCCTCAAATAGTTTTAATACTTCTTTCTCACCTTGCAGAGTGGCCTGTTGCTGCTGCTCATCACAACTTGAGGGGAGGGGAGAGATGGGAAGAATAGATGGTAGAAAAGACAGAAATATAGAGTCTAAATGTCAGTTATCTTTAATTTTTAGAGATGCAGAAATGGTAGTTGATACAGCCTGAGAGAATGCCGGCCAAACCAGCAGCCACGTTTCTAAGCTGCACACTGGCTCGGTGCTTGGATATGGCTATTGCTAGGGAAGGACCCAGACTTGCTAACATTTGCTTATCTGTTTGTAATAAACAGCAGGACTCACCTAAACCTGTGAAACACCAGGCAAGTGCTTTTCTTTATGCTTCTTAGTCTTGAGTGTTTGCACTGATCTGTCTTTAGATTGAGTCTCTATTTGAAACAAATACCATCCTTAGTTCTGAGTGGAATCTATTATTTTTAAAAAAACTTAATTTTGAAAATTTTTTGCTTAAAACCTTATTCTTTAATAAGACGTAGCATGCCATTTTGCTTTACATTTATTTTCTAGATAAATCTTAAATTTATTTTTCCCTTTTATCATGACATTGAACTGCATGTTTATGAAGCCTATAAATTTATGGTTTCATCTGTCAAATACTAGGGTAGAATCATCTTAATACTTCTGAAAAACATGAAAACCTAAAGTTTTATAGCATTGTATAGTTTATGCCTATATGTGTTTTAACCTAAAGACCTCATTGTACTTAATATACAAAATAAGTTAGAATTCTCTTTGTGTTATGTAAGTAGTGGAGTGTTATATTCCTACTTACCAGATGGCTGTCATTCAGCTTTACAGAGCCTAACAATGAATAAACCACAAGCCAGAGCAGGAACCCCATCTCCTGCTTCCTGGAGGAGAGTGAGGGCAGAACTGAGCCAAAGAGTCCTTAAGTAGAGTCGCCCCCGGCCTGGGACATAATCCTTTCCCTTGCATTAGGACAATTTTGGTTTGTCTCTTTCATACAAGCATGATGATATAAAGCCAATATAAAACAATAAACAGTCATGTTGAGTTATGGAGATGATCAGTGAATATAAAGAAACGATGGTACATACGTAAAGGAATTGTCACAGATAATGAAATTCCCAGATCTATTTCTTAAAATTCTTAAGATATTGTCAGACACCAAAGCTGTACCATATGAAGGCCTGTGATGTTCTTTTGTTCTTTTAATGCAGTACAGGCTGGTGATACAAATTGGAGGGGTTAATGAAATAATCATTATCCTGTAGACTATTTAAAAAGCTTCTTTGCCAGTTAAAGAAGAACAGTATGGATCAGAAACCAGCTTTTACAGCACTAATGAAATAGTGTGAATTAACTAATGTACAGGTTTAGGTTTTCCAAATCCTCTGTGGAACACAGGAGTCATTTTTACTAACGTCTCATTTCGATGTCATTTTAAACGAGAGTTGTGATGTTTTGAGTAGCATGCCAATCTCTAGATTTTAGTGTGGGCCCAGTCCATCCCCAAGGAGCAAGTTCTCCCCAAGAAAGTGGCTGCTGCTTTGGGCCACGCTTTGCCGTCATTGCTGGCTTGCATGTCCACTGCATGTATTTGCTGTGCACAGAATCCCCTATACTGCTTTTCCCAAGTTTATTGTAGTAACAGTCAAATAGTAGCTGTGGTGATGTTTTTAGAAGTACAAGAAGAATATTGGCTCTCACTTTTTCTTCTCTAACTCACCTGAGGAGTGCTCAACAGCATGGCTGGGAATGATCACACCCTGGAGTGTCCTACCCAGAAATTACTTCTTCCCGGTTGGAACCCCTATCCGCGACTTGCTCACCCCAATTTGAGAATGATTACTCATGAAAGTCACAATACTTAAATAAATAAACTTTAAACAAACATTCACCCGTGAATTGTTGGTGAATTTTTTTAAGTTGAAGGTCTTATTTGGCTTCATGCCCTTATTACCCACCAGCTAACTGCAATCACAGTATCATTGCCATCAGTCTTCATCATAGTTCCCCGTAAGAGACCCTCAAAGTCTATCACAGTGTGTGTTGCTGCTACAAAGCCTCAACACAGTGCAGTGTTAGAGCAGATTTGAAAATGATTCATTTCTAAAACTTGACTATTCCCTAAGAATGATTGCTACTAGCCAGGCCACCTGCCTCTGCTGCTCAGGTCATCTTTAGGATGGCTTTATATCTTTCCTCGGCCTTTCTATAGTGACTTGAAACGAGACAGCGAAAGCCAGCAAGTGACAGGTACAGAAATCAGAACCTGCTAGTTGAGATTACAGTCTGGTTTCCAACATGTGTTTGGCCATGGCCTCTTGCTTATAACCCGCCTCTGGTGGTCAGTACACCTGTACTTTACCCTGCCACACCTGCAAGGCGCAGCATGATCCCTGGCCCCTTGATTGCTGATCTGGAGTTTTGCAAGAGAGAGATACATCAATCAGCAAGCATGTATTATATACCGTATAATAAACACAAAGGATATAGTTTTCACCATGATTGGTAAACCATTAAAGCATTATATAATTCTAAATACTTAGAATATTTAAAAATAACTTTAGTAGCTACTGCTGCTTTTCTCCCCTACATTCCCAAATAACATTTCACAGTTGTGTATTGCCTAGACACCGGTGCCAGGCTTGGTGGCACACACCTATAATCCCAGCTGCTTGGGTAGCTGAGGCAGAAGGATCATGAGTTCAAGCCAGTGTGAGCAACTTTAGTGAGGACCTGTCCCAAAATAAACAATTTTAAAAGAGGGCTAGGGATATATCTCAGTGGTGGAGTGCTTGCCTAGTATGCCCAAGGCCCTGGGTTCAATTTCCAGCATGGAAAAAAAACAAAAGAGAAACAAGGGACATTGTCCTTCAATTCTAGTGGATAGGTGGATTTATGTACTCTTCTCTGATGGTTTATAAACACCTTTGTATTTTGGTTATGAGATGTTAGCACAGTTTTATCTAATTATGAAATTATTCAACATAGAAATGATCATGGATCTTAATTGTAAGACCATTGGTAATTTCTTAATTGTAAGATCATTTTTGTACGTTTTATAATATTGACTTTGTGTCAAGCTTTTTGGGATTTATGAGTTTTTGAGATCTTTACTTGGTCTCATAAATGTCACAGATCCATTAGGGAGGGAAGTAATAATATGACACCATTAGTACAGTAGAGACAACACCAGGGGCCCAGAAGTGCTGAGGCTACAGTTAAGATGGCGTCTGTGAGAACCCTTAGCCCAAATCTTGTTGCTGCCTTTGGCTCACCATCATGTCCTCCCCAGACACTACTAGAATGTCACAGGAGCTCTCATTCATTCATTCAAACATTTGCAGAGCATCATTTTCCCTGATACTGACTGAACTAAGTAGAGGACATATAAAAGAAGGGACAGAATCAGTAGAATACACACACATATATATATATTTTTTGGTACCGGGGATTGAACTCGAGACCTTGCGCTTACAAGGCAGGCGCCAGAACCACTGAGCTAAATTCCCGGCCCAACACACATTTTTGAAAAAGAATAAGAAACTGGACTCAATCCTTGTAGTCACTATCTAGGGAATATGAAATTAAAATGCTTTACTTCCAAGGTAGGAACACCTGGTTTTTGTTGTTCATTTGTTGTTGGTGGTGGTGATGGGCTTTATTTTTGGTTTTGTTTTTTGTTCTTTTTTCTTTTCTTATCATATTGAGGATTGAACACAGGGCCTCTGCACTGAGCTACATCCCCAGCCTTTCTCCCCATTTTTGAGACTTAGTCTCACTAAGTTGCCCAGGCTGGGGTCAAATTTGTGATCCTCCTGCCTCAGCCTCCCAAAGTGCTGGTATTACAGGTGTGCACCACCACACCTGGCAGGAAAACATCTTACAGAGAGATTATGAAACTCTTCTAATTATGATGTGGAGGATAGCATGAAATTTAAGAAATCCATATTTTGTGACCCTTGATCTAACATGTTTAAAGACTTATCAGAACAGCACTTATCAGAACATCAGCATCTTTCTGACATTTTTACATTGTGAGCCCATAAATTGAGTTAGGTTTAAGAAAAGAAAACAAGGAAGGGTTTGCAGAGGCTCAAAACAGTTGATGCAAAGCCAGGACACCTGTCAGCCAGTGGCATGCTGATGGAAGTGAGCTTGGAAAGGCAGTCTATTCTATCACAGAACAACACACAACATACATTCCTAATGATTACACTTAGCCATTAAAATTATTTCAGGACACCATGTTTAAGACAATTGGGCAGCATGTAAAGTTTTAGATTTATACCAAAAATAGTCTTGTGTTTGTAAGTCAATAAACTGGAAGATTCGCTGTACAGGGAGAAAATTACCTAATGCTCCAAAAGTGAAGTGTTAGTGTGTATGAATTCACAGGGCCTAAGGTTCTTGGCAGGCCTGGTTCCTGACTGGTTTCCGCTGAACATGTTGTGGTCTGTAGTTGAGACCTATGGCAGTGGGGCAGTCCATATGGAAGAAACAGGAGCATGCGCCTTGCAGCTTAAGGGCCTCGGGGGGACTGTCCTACCTTTCCAACGGGGTACTGAAGCTGAGATCTTAGCTTGTTCTCCTGGATGTCACTATCCATTAGCAGGGCAGTAATGCCATGACATACATTTGTCCCAGTTTTGGAAACTGATAGTAAGTAATACAGTGACTACCTCATATGATCACATGACAAATGGCCACTAATTAGAAAATTTTACATGAAAGTCTTTGTGTGCCATCGTTTTTGCTTACAGAGTGGTGCTAGTGGTGTCTTTTTTTTTTTTAGGTCTAGAACACTGTGGGTATTTTAAAATATAGGGTAAGATTTGTGTTTGGAAAAAGCAGATTTATTTAAGTCATAAAGATCATTCTAAAATTACATTCTAGAAATACAACATCACCTCTAGTACTTTTCTCAGCCAGAAATGGCATCATGCTTTCTTCCTATTATGTTTCCTGAGTAAAGCATGTATTAATATACTTTCATCTTTTGTTAGTAAAATGTTTGATGGCCTAATTTGTATATAAATACAGTGACTAAAGAATACTTTATAGCAAATACATTATACTTGGCCTTATCTATCTGAGCAAGTGAGAACCTTGCCAACTTTGCCCTGTTCTGAAAGTGGAGGTGAGGACATTGTTCTGTCTGTACTGTTGAGATACTGTGTGAAAGCCTTTGGAAAAATGGAAAATCTTACACCAACCAACACAGTGGCAGTTATTAAATTAGCCACTGTAAAGGGAGAGTAAAAATAAATAGAAGTGTTAAGTATTAATATGTTCTTAATGGCAGTCATGCTAAATTTAATTTTATGGAAACCAGTTGATTTGCTTTATTTTCAAAATTCTCTGCCTAGGGCCGGGGATTTAGCTCAGTGGTTTCACCGCCTGCTGTGCAAGCGCAAGGACCCAAGTTCGATCCCCGGTACCAAAAAAAAAAAAAAAAAATTCTCTGCCTAATTTATGTGTTAGTGTTAAGGTTGATCTTCTCTGTTTGCTGTGACATTTTCTTCGTGTTACCACTTTCTGGAGACCAGTTTTTTCCTTAAACAGAGCCTTATAATCAGGAATAAGAAGCCAAAAAAGGTTGCTGAATCCCAGACAGGGTGAAGACACTGAGGAAGAGGGAAAGTTTGTGTGGGTTTTTTTCTTTTTTTTTCCCTGAGGACTAGAGTAAAAACATTAGATTAACATACATCTGTTTGTGTGTGTGTGTGTGTGTGTGTGTGTGTATAATGTCTTCTAGGGGGAACTTGAACGGCAGCTTTTGCAAGCAAACCCAATTCTGGAATCATTTGGAAATGCGAAGACTGTGAAAAATGATAACTCATCTCGTTTTGTAAGTTTAAAGGCACCAGAAACTTTTAATTTGTCAGCTTTCTAACTAAATGGTTAAGCAAATGAATTGATATTCTTCCTAGATTTTAAGAAGAGGTTATTAAATACAGTAAAATTTTCCAGGACCCACATTATGAAAAGAAAAGAGCAATCTGAAAGTAGTTTTAATTGTATTTATTATATAGAAATATATAATTATATATCATTATATGGACATGTAACTATATAACTTCTGTGAACTTATTTCTTTGTATTTGATGTTATGAGTTTGGTGTTGAGATAAAATGAGGCATGTTGAGTTGTAGCATTGCAACAGGCATAATAAATGTGCAGTAAATGAAGCTGGCATTAGATAAAGTAAACTCCTTTTTGTGTCTTGCTGTTTCTATGGGATATGGACTTCAGATTAATTAGTTACTACTGTTACTTCTCTCTAAATTTTTTTCTTAGCTATTAATTCCTTGAAAGCTTTTCCTGTCCCCCTCAGTTTGATTAGCTCTTGCATTTACCTGAGGGTATTGTACTGTTATCCATGGGACTTTAGTGTTCAATTATTCCTACATAGGTTATTCAATTTGATTCTGTTTTTTTTTTCCTCCATCCTCTAAAATACTGATAAAAATCAAGAAGGCTAGGATAGAAGAGACTTGGATTCTAACAATTCTTTGGAAATTTTTGGGACTCTCATATCATTGTGCTATACCTTTTAAAACTGAGCATATAAAGTCATGGTGTGCATGTTAATTTTCTGATCGTACGATTTCTGGGGTTAGTGGCAGGACCAGATTCATCTGTCACAGTTTACCCAGCAAACACAAGGTAGCCAGAAAATCCTGTTTCTCAGGCTACCATAACTGACTGGGTGCGTTAGAGAACAGAAATTTATATTTCCACAGTTCTGGAGGGTAGAAATCTTCGATCAGTGTGTCAGCATGATTGTTTTCCCCTGAGGCCTCACTGCTTGGCTTGTAGCTGGTTATCTTCTCCCTGTGTCTTGTTGTGATCTTCCCTCTCTATCTGAGACCTAATCACCTCTTTACAGGGACACCAGTCTGCTAATTAGGGCCCACCCTCATGACTTCATTTTAGCAATTCCTTCTTTAAATTCCGTCTTTCCAGACATAGTCACATCCTGAGGTATTGGGAATTAGGATTTCAGTATATGACCTTTGTCAGGAGGGACATCTCTCCCATTACTTCCACTCAGAGGTAGTGGAAGTGCAAGAGGTTTTCTAAGTTATGTAAGAAGTCAAGATCTTTTGCTTGGAATACTCTTTGTTCTTAGTAAGATAATATTTGAAGATTCACTTAACCCAAGTTTAGTTAGTAATTATTTTAGCTTCCTGTGTACAAAAGTGAGGTAAAGAATACACCTATATCAAAAAAAAAAAAAATATATATATATATATATATATATATATATATATACACCTGTATCAGGAGGAGACAGGTCTGTGACTTTGGATTTATAAAAGGTCCAAGGAAACCAAGCTTCTTTTAGAGTTCCTGTCATTCCTAGGATAGTCTCTGTTGAATGTGAGCCCCAATTAAATCTTGGATTCTTCCTACTGAAAAGCCCCGTGTTTAGTGAATATGACAGGGGATAGGAGAAGCAGTGAGCTCCCTGCTTTGGTATGCAATTCTCCACAAAGATTTGCAATGACTACTTCATGGAAAATCCTTAATTTTACCACATAAATTAAGTTACCCATCTATTCTGACTTTCCCCCGCTAAACCACACTCTAAATTCAGGGGAAACATTTCATCTTGTGTCCAGTTGTCTCATTTTTGCCTGGAAAAGATAAATCGCTATTAAACTATCATCATTTGTGTTCTTTGGTAAAAATGTAATGATTCTGTTATTAAATGGTAAGGATTTCTCTACCTGCCAGGGTATGTTTTCACTCATTGTTTTTGTATTTGGGACAGATATTATTCTGTTTTATTTATCTATTGCCATGTAATAAATGACCCTAAAACCAAGTGGCTTAAAACATTTATTATCTCACAGTTTCTGGGTGTCAGAAATTGAGTAGCAGCTTAGCTAGGTGGTTCTGGCTCAGGGTCTCTTATAATTACGATGTGGTTGGTTAGAGCTGTAGTCATGTGAAGGCCTGACTAATGCCAAAGGACCCTTTCCCAAGCTCACTCAGATAGCCTTTGGCAAGAGGCCTCAGTTCTTCACAACTGTTGGCTGGAGGCTGTGGCTCCTCACCACATTGGCATCTCCACAGGCTGCTTGAGTATCCCTGGGATATGGCTGCTGGCTTCTCAGAGCAGGTGATCCAAGAGAAAGCAAGAAAAAACCCACTCGGTGTCTTTCGTAGCCTAGCTTTGGAAGTCACCTACTATTCCTCTGTTGTGTTCTGTGGGTTACACCAAGCAACCCTGGCAGAACGTAGGAGGGGATTACGCAAGGGCATGGATACCAGAGATGGGTATCCTTGACCCCATCTTGGAGACCAGTTACCACAAGTCCTTAGAAAGATCTCCATCATTCACATCTTGGTCTTAATGTAATTGGCATTTCTCTAGATGAGTCTAAATTGGGGGTCCACAGGGTAGTTGGTGGAATGTGGAGACATTTTTGTGTGTTCAGCTGTGGGGAAAGGTAGTGTTGTGCTGCTGGCTTCTGGCCAAGAGAGGCCAAGGATACTGCTAAACATTCCACAATACGTAGGACTGGGAATGACCTAGCCACAAATGTCAGTTATGTTGAGGTTGCAAAACCCTGCTCTAGACTGTTCACTTGAAATTACAACCCAAGCTAAGGTAATCACTTTCTGTACTGTATTTGCAAAGTAATATTCAAGTTTCCTTAATGCTTATTATGCGTCCTATTCCAAATGTTGTTATAAATAATTTTGGTAGGAACCTGTCTCACATCCTGCTAGTAGAAGAATTTCAAAGATTGTTTTTTAGCCATTCTCAAGCAACACATAGAGAAGGAGTAAGAACCAGTCATCTGATCTAAATTCTCAGCAAGCCCTGTTTCAGCTGAGATAGCACCTTTCAAAGTGCTTGCACTACTATATAAAAAACTTCTAAAGGCGGTATTTATAGAAAGCTGTATGGAAAAAATACACAAAGACTGATCTTTGTTTTCATAGGAAAAAAATTTTTGATTAAGGCAGTATTCTTAAACATAGTTATTCATTCAACCAAGAAACAAAGGTATCTTCAAATTGTTGACTTTGAGCTTTTTAATTCTTAAAAGATCAGTGCTTATTGATATGTATAGTATTTTTTGGAAATGGTAGCTTTCTACTATTATAAGGCATTAACTGCACAATACTAAAACAAGTAATTGAGTTTAGTAGTTTCATAAAAACTAATAACACTGATTGAATAATGTTCAGTTAAAATATCCCTTTAGTATTTCTCTGTGGGTGTTGCTAACACTTTGGTCCTCCAAGGGTTTGAAAGTAACCAATATTGACTCATGTTTTCGATTATATTGCTGGTAATTTTGATTTTTTTTGTTTGTTTGTGCAGTTCAATTAATTATTAAGCATCTGCCAGGGATTTAGCTCAGTGCCACTGCACCTGCCTGGCAAGTGCAAGATCCTAAATTTGATTCCTAGTAACAAGAAAGAAATATTATTAAGCATCTATTCTTTGCCAAGTAACAGTACTGCTTTATTGACATCTCCATTTGGATATGTCATAGATTTCTCAAATTTAACATATCTTAAATGGAAATTTTTCTTCTACTTTCAAAATTTATTCCTTTTTGGCTTTTTTTGCCATTAAGTTTATTGGTACATTTTAGGTATAAAATACAATTACATTCATCATTGGGATCTTGTACCTTTACATGACATATCTTGGTTATTTTTTTCCCCATTCCCCTGCCCTCCATTCACCCCCTCCACCCTTCCCTATTTACA